GTTTAGAAGCAACGAAGCCGTTTCCCTGGTATATGGACTGTGGTACGAGATTAAAGCTTCGACAGTAGTGAATAACAAGGACATCGAAATGAAGAAAAGGGTTGGGGTGCGAGAGGGCATGTGTGTGTGTGTGTGTGTGTGTGTGTGTGTGTGGTGGGGGGGGGGGGGGTTACACATTTGCTAGTGCAAGGGAAGGCCTACACCCCCACCCCCCCCACCTTTTTTCTTATACGCACACACACATATATTAACATACATACACGCACACACAGGATTTGCAAACAAAGTGCACCCTTTTGTCAATCAAACTGATCATTTTGTAAATCAAATTCCTTCTTTACAAAGTATATTCACCCTCTCGCAAATCAAATTCGATCTTTCGTAAATTAGACTTTTATAAAAAAAAAAAAAAAAAATAGCGAACATCTCTGCAGCTTGCCTATGATATTATGAAACGAATACTTTCCCACCGTTTGGACCAGCGCCAAACTCTTGTTCCATAAGAGTGGCACTGGCAACATTGGATTTGAAAGAACATGTTATGTATACTTTATGTTTTAAATGTTCGCTTTTCCCTGTGTATGTCTAAATAACACTGGTACTCAAGAAGAACCAAACAAGACCAGTACTGAATAGAAACTTCAATTATATGTTGCGTGTGCACCAAATGAGGATAGAACTCATCAGAAAACACCAACTAAAAACTTTAGGTGTAGCAGAATTTGGATCGAAAGGGCAGGGGATGAAGAGATTATGTACTGGTACACTATGTGGAGATCACACAAAGTTTCACATCATGGATAGGAATTCATCACTGACACAGGATTATGAATATAGTTTTACACATTTATTATATTTCAAAAAGAATTATTTGCTTCAAAATACAAAGAGACAGAAGAATTGAAGCTAATTTGAAAGAGTATGCACTATGCAATGGAAATAAGAGAGAAAAAAGTAGAAATATACTTTTATGCACTAACCGATAAAAGTTCCAAAATTATTTCAGAAAAAAAAAAAAAAAAAAGATATACTTCTTCCCCAAATACTTTGCTGGGATAAATGGAGGAGGAAGAAGAAGAAGAAGAAGAAGAAGAAGAAGAAAAGTAGAAGAAGAAGAAAGAAGAAGAATAAGAAGAAGCAGAAGAAGAAGAAGAAGAAGAAGAAGAAGAAGAAGAAATAAGAAGAAGAAGAAGAAGAGAAGAGAAGAAGAGAAGAAGAAGAAGAAGAAGAAGAAGAGAGAAGCAAGAAAGAAGCAGAAAAAGAAGAAGACCAGAAAAAAAGATAAGAAGAAGTAGATGAAGAGAGAAGAGGAAGAAGAAGAGAAAGAAGAAGAAAGAAGAAGTAGAAGAAGAATGAAGAAGAAGAAGAAGAGAAGAAGAAGAAAGAAGAAGACGAATAAGAAGAAGAAGAAGAAGAAAAGAAGAAGAAGAATAAGAAGAAGAAGAAAAAGAGAAGAAGAAGAAGAAGAAAGAAGCAGAAGAAGCAGAAATTAAGAAGCAGAAAAAGAAGAAGCAGAGAAAAAGAAGAAGAAGAAAAGAAGAAGAAATAGAAGAAGAAGAAGAGAAGAAAGAAGAAGAAGAATCGAAGAAGAGAAGGAAGAAGAAGAAGAACGAAGAAGAAGAAGAATAAGAAGAAGAAGAAGAAGAAGAAGAAGAAGAAGCAAAGCAGAGAAAAAGAAGAAGAAGAAGAAAGAAGCAGAAAAAGAAGCAGAAAAATGAAAGAAGCAGAAAAAAGAAGAAGAAGAGAAGTAGATGAAGAAGAAGAATAAGAAGAAGAAGAAGGAAGAAGAAGAAGAATAGAAGAAGAAGAAGAAGAAAGAAGAAGAAGAAGAAAGAAGAATAGAAGAAATAAGAATAAGAATAAGAATAAAGAAGAAGAAGAAGAAGAAGAAGAAGAAGAAGAAGAAGAAGAAGAAGAAGAAGAAGCAGAAGAAGAAGAAGAAGAAGAAGAAGAAGAAGAAGAAGAAGAAGAAGAAGAAGAAGAAGAAGAAGAAGAAGAAGAAGAAGACGATGCTCATACAAATACACATAATCTACCTGCGCACGTACATACGCACATAAGTATTTAGATACGCATAATACATTGAAGCAGTAATTTAAATACTATTAAAAAGCTATTTAAATACTGACGCATATGGTGAACCATGTACTGGTGAATTCCATTTCCGAATAATAACAGTATCTAAGTATAGAACTGTTGGTAATCATACGTTGTCAGTGTATTGTTACTACTGCTGTCTGTACTCCCTACCACATAAATACTGACATAATCATTATTGTCGATTAGACAAGATACGTTTCTCCAAGTACAGAATACATTTCCCCCCGCACACGCCTACTGCCACCCATTTAGATGATGCGTTTCGGTGGTTCTCACACTGTACTTTTTGACACACTTCGAAATGGGTTCGTCTAGGTATAGTTTCCACTTCTTTCTATGAGTGCCAATCAATGCATTGTCTGTGTGTTTATTGTATATATAAATGTATGTATATGTGTGCATGTGTGTGTGTGTGTGTATATATATATAAATATATGTCGGCGTCTGTAGCTTGGGGGTTGCAAACGCGCTTCGTGATGTGAAGGGTTCGATCCCAGCTGCGGACAGTTTGTCCTGCGTTGGTTTCGGCTGTGGTACCCAGAAAAGCCGACCGTGTAGAGAGCAATGGCAAACTACTTGACGTACATTTGCCTAGAAAAACCACAACAGCCAAAACATTCTGGGGTTGGTTCTGCAACGTAATGTACACGATACGCAAATAACTTTTAATATTTATGAATGTAATTTTTAAAAAAAATATCACCTTTATAGAATGTTGCTTCTATCACAGCCTAGCTGAAAGACATTAGGTCCCTCGCTTGCCTATACTGATGTTTGAGGTTTAAAGTTTGAACAACGGATCAACATCATGGCACACAGGTAGTAACCCATAAGTGCTCCGTTCTTCTTCTAACTCAAGTCTGAGTCCGAAGAAGCTCAGCACAGTGCACAGGCTCTGTAGCACCGGCAAGGACCCTGAAATACTTTGGGTAGATTTTTAACTTCAAAATTTGCCCGGCAACGCCGTTAAGCTACTCTTTTCAATTTCCAATTGAAAAGGGATTTTTTGTTACGTGCACAAAAATGCACACGGGCGTCCGATCTCACTACCCAGAAAACAGAAGGAATTACTAAAAGTCCAAGTCCTCGTGAAAAAATCCTAGCCCTTACCGGGGATTGTACACGGAACCACAAGCACACGAGGTGGACACCATGCCTCAAGACCACGCAGCCCCCTCATAAACTTTCTTGCTTCAGGTATCTCGTATGTCCCGCATTTACCTTCGTGCTGGTAGGCAGGCGGGTTCCTGCCGCTCTCACATAGAATCCTACTCACCATTTATGCTGCCCTCTGTCCACCTAGCCATTACGGCCTTTGTTGTGGTCAAAGTATTTCAGTTACCGAGGCGAAATGATGTTTCCAAGGTTAATTTTCCGGCACCCCCCTGTGCTGTTTCCGACAACGGTATGAGCGTCGTATCGTTCAGCCGTCTTTTCGTCTTTTCGTTTGAGTCTGAGGCGGCACATAGGGCAGAGGTCAAAGTTCTCCATGTCTGGCGGTTCCTTGCACCCCCTTCCCCCCCCCCCCCCCCCCCCCATTGTAGGACTTGTATATTCATTAGGCCCATGGTTGAGCTTTTCCTGATAATGGGGTCTCTCTTGGTCTTTCCCGTTTCATTTTCCCTTCCGATGACCATATATGGACTTGACGGGGAAGTCTGGTCTTATCTATTGTGAGTGCATGGTCGATGTAGTTCCACGGTGCTTTCTTAAAAAACTGGACATATTATCTTGTTTTGTCTCTTGTATTACCCCCGCTTCCCCCTCCCCCGACCTGAAATGGACACCAGGCAATTTCCTGGGTAATAAAGGCAGCCGCTATGATGTTGACCACATCAATTACCGACTGCTAACTGGACTATAACAAGTATAAATCTATCATCACATACTAAAAGCGTGAAAGGAAATCTTGACTTACTGGGATGCCGTCGCAGTGGTAGATTCATCCTGGTATATAGGTCGAGGATGTCCTCTCATCCTCCTCCTCCTCCTATTCTTCCTAATCCTTATCATCATTATCGTCATCATCATTATCATCATCATCATCATCGATATGTTCCGCGCCTATAAGCGTAGGCTGTCATGTTTCGCCATCTCACACAATCACCAGAATCCTGGATCAATGTTTTCGTCTCGCGCTATTGATTTGGCTAGGTGTTTATCTCTTTGCCTTGCTCTTACTCTCTTTCCCTCAATCTTGCCGGTTTTTACCTAGTTCTCGAATCGATTTCTGCTCATAACAGGCACCTCTACTACGATATACAGATGTGTGCAAGAGGGACATAAAATTATACAGGTATTCAGATGGATTTGTTGGAACAAAATATTATGGACCATGTCAAGTGTAGACGGGAGGTCAGAAAAGGAGTGAGTATGAAAGAAGAAGTGATTGCAGAAAGGATGATAGCTGAGCGACTGAGAAGAACACTCGAAATACAAATGATGACAACATCGGCCCTGAAATCCGATGCTATAATTGTGAAAGGCTTCTTAACGTTGGCGGGTCTTGCTAGTCACACTCGCCATCGCCATGAGTTGTTAGTCTCATGCCTCCTCATAACACACCATAATACTATTGTCTGGAAAGACGGAAAGGTGCCAACAACTGACAGGGCTTAGACAGTATGAGTCTTGGTTCTGGTTAGCAGACTATTGTCTGGACATTGACCTGGCTGTCACGAGATACGAAGATAAGTGATATTGTGTATTTGTGTAGTATTGTCTTATCTATGTATGTGCTGAAGAAGGCTATATAGCCGCAACGTTCACGTTTTGTTTGTGTTCCTTATATTGTGAAGCTCGCTGATATACTTTTTCGTTCGTTTTTTTATCTTTTCCTGGTTAACATTACGTGCGGTTCAGCAGCTCTGCATCCCGACCAAGACTTC